TGGCCTGGGCTGATGGTTTCAACAATTGAAAGCAGGGATAATGTGGGTGCATGCATCTAGCAGCCTGAGGCTGTGCAGAGGGGGCAATTCTGTTCAGGCCACAGCGCCACCCCTTTCTTCTATCATCTGTATCCATTCCAGAGTTGCAGTAGCCAATCTTGGGGAGGGGGGAATCTGCCTCATCTGTCACGACATCCAGCTGGATTCCAAAGGTGTTACATTTGAACAAGAAGAGCCCTGGGCAGCGTGTCTGGCCAGCCAGGGCCCCAGGCCTCTTGCATAGGCGTGGGCAGCTGGTTCTCTTGAAGCCTTTCCCAGAGCAGGGCTCCTGTCTGCTGGCCTCGCACGCAGAGAGGCAGCATACTGAGCAGAACTTGCTGGTCTTTCAGATCCCTACATCTTGCCAGTAGCAGGGCCTGGTTCTTAGGCTTGCCCTTTGTCCTCCCTTTCTCTTCTCCTTAGAGAGGCGAGCTTAAGAGTGCTGCTTTCCAGTGCCTGTAAAACGCTCCCGGAGGAGAGAAATCCTTGGGTGCAGGGAGAATTCCCCAGCCTGGAAGGAAGCCCATGTTAGGCTGGCAGAGGGAGCGATGCTGGGGCTGTATGTAGCCCAGGCCTGTCGTAGGGGTCTGAGAGTGAATGCAAATGCACAGGAGGACGCAAGGAGGGGCTCCCAGGGCAGGGAGCCAGTGGTTAAGGTCAGACAGTGGTTGCCAGTCTATCTCTTCTTGGACCCGGGTACTTGAAAGAGGCTCTGATTTAGAAATACCAAGCTCAGAAGCATTGAGAGAACATCTCAAGTTTGTTCTCAGGGGATGATGGGCCATTATGGGGAGGACAGGTAGCTACAGAAGGTCAAAGAGACAGGGACAGGATGGAGGGCAGGGACAGAGGAAGTGAGAGGGAGGGAGGAAGTGTGGGGCAGGTTGGCCAGCAGAGTCGGGTTTCAGAGAGGAGGCAAGTGGGAGGGTAGGAGGACAGGGCCCTGGAGGTGAGGTCACAGGGAGAGGGGGAGGAGCAGTCAGGGACCGGTGGTGGCCTGGGGTCCTCAGAGAGGGTGGATCAGACACAGATCCTTCCATGGGGAGAGGGAAGCTCCGGCATGAGTAACAAGAGGGAAGGGAGCAGCAAAGCCTGGGTGGCATCTGCCAAGGCCATGGGGGGGGGACCCAGAGTGGCACTCTAGTGGCTGTTCATGAGATGTCGGGTGGGGGGGAGAGGGAAGGAAGCTGGGGGCGGGGAGGGGGGATTTGGGGGAGCCAGCCCACTCAAGGGGAGGACTTACAGGAAGGATTTCATGTCCAAGCCTCGGTTTCGAATCTGCCCCACCACGTGGTCCCAGCTGCCCGGGTTGGAGCGACTGTGGCCCCCGGCTGCCCGGTACTTGGAGCCGGCCGAGGTGCCCTGCCGAGCCTGGCCCCGGCCATAGGTCCGGGGATTGGTGCCCGGTGCCGAGGCTGCGTGGGTTTGCAGCTGGCCCAGGCTCTGGCTGGTGGTGGGCTGGCTGGGCGGCCGGCCCCGCTGGTGTTGGCTCAGCGGCTGCTGCAGACTCTGCTGCCGCATCAGAGTGCGGGGTCGCTGGCATTTCGGCTCTCCCGCGGAGCTGGGGATAGACTCAAGGGTAGTGGCCGTGGACAGGGTGGAGTCCTCGAAACTTGGGGCAGGTGGAGGAGAGGAGAGAAAGGAGAAGCAGGTGAAGGGATCACAGTGGAGGAGAAAGAAGCCGAGAGCCAGGGCTGGGAGGCCCCAGTGCAGGGCGCGCTCGGCCGGACCTCGCCATGCCTCCATCGCAGTGTCGCTGCCGCTGTTGCTGCCACCACCTCACCCAGGAGCCACAAAGCCTGAGCCCACCCTGAGGCCCCCAGCTCGGGCCCCACCCGCTCCCGGGCTGGCCCTAGCTCGGCTGGCTAGCGAGTGCCCCAGGTACCTCCCGCCTGGCCTGGTCTCTCTGCTGATCTGAGCCGGGCCGCAGCTGCGGTGGCAGCTGGCAGCGTGGTGAAGGCAGTTCCCACGGGCCGGGCCGCTGCCAATCAAGTTGGAAAGGGGAGGGGAGAGGGAGGTGTGGCTGCCCCTTCCGTTGTCTCACTGGGGGCCACCAGCTAAGTCTGCCTCTGGGTTCCAGGTACTACTGTCCTGGGAGACAAGGAAATCCAGGCCAGCAGAGCTGGCCTAGTAATGCCTGGCGAAGGGGGGCAGCCAGCAACTCTCCTCCTCTGCCCATGGAGAAGAGGAAGGAGCCTCAGGCCCACAGACCCCTGTGTCCTGTGGCCAGAGCTGTTTATCCCAGAGGCCCTTGGTACTGTGGGAAAGACTCTCTCTCAGAGGAAGGGACCAAGGAAAGAGTAGCTGGTGGTAGAGAGCCCCAGAAGTCATTCATCTGGCTATTTCACTCCTGGGAGGCAGGACATGGACAGACTGGAGTCAGGACCCCTCCCCACCAGCTGGTTAGAGACAGTATAAGCTCAGAGAGATCGGGGTTCAAAGCCCATCTCTGCCACTGACTAATTGTGGGATTTTGGAAAAGCCTTTCTACCTCTCTGGGCCTCAGTTTCTTCATCTGTAGATTGAGGGGAATATATATATATATATATGTGTGTGTGTGTGTGTGTGTGTGTGTGTGTGTGTGTGTGTGTGTGTGTGTGTGTGTTTTAAATCCAGAGTTTCCATGAGGACCCAGTAGGGCCAGGCTGTGAGGCAGGGTTGGATGGGTTAAAAACTCCCATGCCACAGATGAGAGTCAGGTCTGTCGTTTCCTTTGAGGTCACCTGCCCTTCTCTGTGCTCTGACCAGAGAGCTCAGTACATGCCACACGGGGGAAGGTCCCAAGTGGGCTGTCAGCAGAGTGCCAGTAAGCCACAGACTACCCTGAATAGCTCAGAGCAAGTCATTTCTCCTTCTTGGGCCTGAAGGTCCAACTTCTTCTCCACCATCCCTTCCCTCCTTCTCCAGGCCAATGGTCTAGGGCAGGAGTTGACAAACTATGGGCTGTGGGCAATTTGTGTTTGTTTTTTTAAAGAAAGTTTTATTGGGATACAGCCATTGGACTTGATTTACATTCTATCCACAGCTGCTTTCCTGCTACAATGGCAGGGCCAAGCAGGGTGAAAGGCACAGCTTGGCTGGCGAAAGTCTAGCTCTTTCTTAGATATTACCTGGCCCTTTACCGAGAAAGTTTGCCAACCCCTGGTCTAGTGGTCTAGGGTCACTGAGGATCCTTAGGCCCTGTTAGAGGTCCAGGCCCTCGGGAACCTCGTTCACCACTGCAACCAGCACTCAGCTTTGCTTGCCCCCTGATCCCACCCTTGGAACCAAAAGACAACAGTTAGGTGGCCCCTGTGGGCAGAGAGAAGGAATGAGAAAGAGAGAAGAGAAAGAGTATAGTACAGAGAGAATGAGAGAGAAAGAGAGATAGAGAGAGAGAAAGAGAGAGAAAGGAAAGCAAAAAGTGGCTGAAGCTGGGGTCCTTGGGGTAGCAGCCTTGTCTGACTCAGGCCTGGAATCAGGGCTACCCCCACGGGAAGGCCCAGGCTGGATTGGCCTGGTAGGCCCACAGCTCCCTGGAGGGGGGGCAGGTGGAGGTAGAAGGAGGATCGTATATTGGTGGCTGCCTCCTCCTCCTTGCTGACCTCATTTTGGTTTCCTATCACATCCAAAATTAGTACAATTTACAACCTCTCAGTCACAGGAAACTAAAATTGGTTCCTCTAGGTCTGAAGCCAGTGAATGGCATGGAGTTCTAGCTGGCCTACAGTCTGGCAGGGCCCGTCTAGGTAGGCTGGGGTGCAGAGCTTGACTCTGGTGGGGTGTGGGGCTTCCCTCAGGACCTTTCTGAGGCCAGATGTCAGGGAAGAAATTGACTTGTGTTCACTCAAGCCAACAAGCAAATGAGGTCTCAGTCTGGTGGCCCTAGCTGGTTCCAAGGGTGGAAAATTTCAAGAGAACTCAGATGGCCCTAAATAGAAGCTAAAAGGGTGGCCCAACAACTAAGAGGGGTCAGGGCTTTAGGTCTAATGGGGAGAGCACTCGGTTAGCGGACTGAGGCTGTTCCAATGGAATCAGCATCTTCATGTGTAAGGAGGGCCATAGTTCAGAGGACCTAAGGACTGGAATGGCTTCTTGGTGGGGGAACTGGAGGTGAGTAACAGCCAAGATGAGGACAAGGCTGCTCCACAGAGGAGACATGGTTATCTTTGGGAAACAGAGGCAAGCCTGTGTAAACCACCCAAGAGTGGGAATGCCTGCTCAGAAAGCTCAGGACAGGTGTTGAAAAGGGACAGTTCTTTGTGGCCCCCAGACTACACCCTGGCATCTGAACCAGAGAAGCTAGCTGGGGCTCAACAACCCAACCTCCAAGAACACCCAACCCCAGCAGCTGGCAGTGGGACAGCTTACTGACCAAGACTGGGACAGCCAGTGGGGATGGCTAGGGTGAGATGAACAATCGGGGTGGCCTGTTCATGGATGAACCCCTGAAACAGATGGTTGCATGACACAAGCAAGACTGGGACAAGCAGATGAAATCCCTCGGTGGTCCAAAATGGAATGGCTCAGTGCTGGGTCTAGAGCCATCTGCTGGCCACAAGAGGAAAGGCCTGGTGGCTGATGAGGGGCATAGGCACAGGCTGGGATGGGTGGGACAATCTGGGGCCCACTGCTCATGAAAGGGATATCCTGGAGGTTGGGATGGGCAGCCAATCAAAGAGGATGGGATGGCCCAAGGACTGGAATGGAGCTGCTCTGGGGGCTGAGAATGGAATGACCTGGTCACTGGTTAAGGGAGGGACTGATGGGCCGCCAATGGGCTGTGAACGTGGGGTACCGCATGGCTGAGTTGGTTGTGCCTCATGGCAAGGATGATGATTGCCTGGTGAAGGGATGGAATGAGCCAGGGGGCCGAGGTCGGCGCCTCCGGGGGCAGCAGCGGGCATGCCAGGGGTCCCGCTGTCCATCCTGCAGGGGGCAGGCCTGAGCTCACGGGGCGGCCACGGGGCGCCAGCACTCACTTGGACAAGTTGAGCTTCCCTGCGGCCAGGTGGCTCTGCACTGTCCGCCAGCGGCCTCTCCCCGCCTTGCCACCGCCGCCCGACTCGCTGGGGGCAGCCCCTCCGCTTCTCAAGGCGTCCTCTCCGGGTGGTGGCACCGGTGCCGGCTTCTCCCCCAGCCGGCCTTCCCGCTCCACCGCCAGCCCCGCCGCGGCGGCCACTTTGGCGCCCGACAGGAGGGTGCCACTGGAGGCATGCACAACGCAGCCCGGCCAGAGGGACACCGGGGGTGGTGGTGGGGGGAGAGAGGGCAGGCCACACGTGGGGGTGGAGGGGAGGAAGAGGAGGAAAAACAACGACAGATAAAAGGAAAAAAGAGACAGTGAGAGAGGAGGAGAGAGACAGACGGACAAGAGACAGACAGAGAGAGAGAGAGAGACATCAGCACTGCAAATGGGTTAACAGCAGAGCCTGCAGGAGAGAGGGGACCGGGCGGGCTGGGGGGCAGAGAACAACGCACCACGACAACGGAGGGGGGCCCCTCCCCACCGCCTGGGGCAGGGGCGGCGGGGGTGGGGGAGGGCAGCCACCTCCAACTCTATCCCACAGGACAACGAAGGGTTAACGACGGAGGAAGAGCGGGCTGTCCAGGCCAGGAGGCCCCCAGGCAGGGAGAGAGAGAAAGCTGTGTTAGTCAGAATTCATCACCACCACCACCACCATCACCGCCACCACCGCCACGAACCACCGACCACCGACCACCGACCACCAGCAGCCACGGCAGCAGCACACAGCGGGGAGGAAAAAGCGAGCCACAACCGAGAGGGAGGGACCAAAAACGGGCAACCCCAATCCTGACTGCACAGAGGGTGGAGGGGTCGGGACAGCTAGTGGGGGGGGCAGGCGTGGCTGCGGCGCGCGGGGGGGGGCAGGGGGCTCTCCTGTGTGGCTGGCCCTGGGGGAGGGGACAGGGGGGCAGGCGGGCAGAGGGGGCAGGAGGGGTTGCTCGTCTCCATGGCCAGCCTGCCCATGGGGGTAGATGGGTGGGACGTGGGGGCAAAGAGCAGGAAGGAAGTGAAAGGGGGCTGGGAGCAGATGGGAGGAGGGAAGGAGGGCGTGCGCGGGTAACTCGGTACATTATGATCAAACCAGGTAAAGTCACTCACTTGAGGGACAGTCGTGGGTCGCCATAAGGGGCGTAGGGTGAAATGTTTAGAATAAACTCCTTGGGAGGGTAGGAGCTCCATTTCTGCTGCACTGTGCTCTCATTGTTATTCCAAAAGTCTCTGTCTAGGTCGCTGGAGGGGCAGAGAGAGAGGGGAGAAAAACAGGGAAATACAAGAAGAAACAAGAACTGCCAATCCTGTGGGGGCAGGAGGGGTGCGGGAACCCCAGGGGAGCACGCAGTGGGCAGGGCTTCCAGGGTCAGTCCTGCAGAGGAAGAAAGGCAAGCAGGCACTGCGTGCCCGCGCCTGCACACACATGCACACGTGCAGGCACACACACTTGTACACGTGCGTGAAGGCACGTGGACATGCAGACACACCACACACACACACACACACATTGAAGGGTCAGCGGGTGAAGCTGTACAGAAGGAGCGTACTGCAGGAGGATGGACGGGAGCCTCGAACCTAGGACGCTGGTGGGAGAGAGAAAGATGATGAGAGGAAGGGACAGTGGGCAGGGGAAACTGGGGACAAGCCTGGGGAGGCGGAGGGCACTGGAAGAAGGGGGAGAGTGTTGGTTTCTGGTTTAGAAGGAAATAGGGAAATAGACCAGGTCCTGGACCAACTGAAGGCCCTACCTCTCCTGCCTCAGTTTCCCTGCCTGGCAAAGGAGAAGATGGTGACTTTCTCCCTTTCCATCTTCTTTCTCCTGGCCAAAGGTGGCCCCTGGCCTCCTCCTCTGTCCTGTCCCCACCTCTGCCAAGACTGAGACGCAGGGTTTCCATGATTTGGGAGGGGGGGCTCTCAGTGAGCTGGAGAGATGTTCCAGATGTGGTGGTTGGGGTCTCCTAGAGAGGAGGGGCCTCTGAGGGTCTCATATGCATTGGTCCTTTGCTCTGGGACTTGGATGGAGGGAGCCTGCCCTTCTCTGATGGGGTCAAGGACTCCTATGTGTGTCCAGCCTGTCCGCTGGGCAGCCCCTCTCTGATCTCATCCCTTTCCAAGATGGAGCTGCTAAAGTCCAAAGGGACCATCGCTCCAGTCTGATACCCCCTGCTGTGATTTGGGGTGTTGGAGGAGCATCAGCAGTCTGCTAGGAGCGAGACTGTGGGGACTTCCACATAAAGCAAGGCGGCAGAAGTCTAGGCTGGCAAAGGGCCTGGCCTGGAGACCTCGGGTGCTAAGGACAAGGTCTCCACCATCTTGTCATCCCCCTAGGGCCTCAAGGAGGAGGACTGGGGTATTCAGGGGGAGAAGAGAGGCAGCTCTCAGGCCAAAGGACAGTTCTGGAAGACAGCCATGCCTGGGGTCATGAGAATGCTGCTGGAGAGGGACTCTGGTGGGAGATGGGAAGGCCTGCGTGCGGGCTGAGGCTGGACTGGAGTTCAGGCCACGGTGCAGCGCCGTTGGGGCGGGACATGTGAGGGGGAGAATGCTCTCTGAGGATCAAGCAAACCATTCTGTGAGACTTGCTTCTCTTGACCCTGAGACTTTGACCTTGACCCTTCTTAACCTCAGACTTGGGAGCAATGAGAGGCTGGGCTGCCACCACGGGGTCTAGATAGAGTCTCTCACTCTAGAATAGGACAGGAACTCTTGAAAATGTCTCATCAGGGACTCTGTGTACCAAATTCAAAGCCCAAGCCCTGAGGTAGCTCCCAGGGACAGACAAGGCTGGGGATGGGTCCAAGGAAACTGCTTCCTTCAAAGGACCCCATGTCCAACAAAGGTGTCCTTTGGCCTTGTTCCCCAGCAGGGCACCACAGAAAGTAGTGGATGCCCATCCCTCCACCACAGGTCTAGTTACAGATGGGGAAGGCAGACAGCCTCAACACTTTGCTCCCTTCAGATCTCCAAAATCTCCATCCGACCCCAAGTTCTAGAGCAAAAGATCCACGAACAGTCATCCCTACCAGCCTCATGTCCCTCCCTAAGTTTCAGGGAACTCTAGAGTCCCTGAGGTCTCTACTATGGTACTGGAAAAGAGAATCTCTAATTAAAGAAGTTTGGGGGGAAAAAACTGGTTTCTTTACTGTGAGACTTGTCAGAGCCTTTAATGTATCAATAATGATCAGTCTCATCAAAAAGGGAGACAGAGCGTGCCGTGTTTTGCAAACCTTGGTTGGCTGTGGAACCCTTGACTCATTTATCATTGATGGGACCCAAGTGCTCTGAGGAACAGAGTTTGGGAAGCACTGCTAAGATGATCGCTAACCAGATGAGTCCCTTGGAGGAGGTCTGAGCCTGTAGGGAAGTTGTATAGCAAATAAATGGCTCTGGTTGAGAATATGGGACACACAGACATGAGAAGGGACTTCCTTCGCCTAGGGCAGAGATCTGACAGCGCAGTAGGTAGAGGTGGGGGGGGCAGGCTTGGATTGTGGATGGTGTGGCTACAGGCTGGATGGCACTTCTGCCCTCACTGTGCCCTCCTGGAACTGGTCCCAGCCTGGCAGAGCTTGTGGCCGACCTGCTACCCTCTGGCTGGGGGCAGGTCCTTCCCAGAAATCCTGGCCCCGCCACATGTGCTCCTCTGCAGGAAGACTATGGTCAGCTGGCGAAAGGGCCGCTGCCCTCATCCAGGGCCCCATGCTGCCCAGCCTGGAGACAGCAGAGGTGCTGGGCGGGGCCCACGCTCTCCCTCATACGTGCTCCCCCCTCCCCTCCAGAAAGCCCAGGGCCTGAGCTCTGCATCAGCCCCTGAGACCTGCCAGCTCTTGTCTTTGAAGACTTGTGAGCCAGCAACCAAACTCAGCTTCAAAGGCTCCCCGTAGCCTCCCCCAGAGCCTTCCACCTACCCATACCCTCAACTGGCCCACCCTTCCACTCACCCCCCCAGCCCAGACACACCCCCGCAGCTTCCCTGAGAGCCCCAAACAGGGTCAGAGCAGAAGAAAACAAAGCTGTGATGAGCAGGGAGCCCTGGGTGGGGGTAGAGGAGGCAAGGAAAGAAGAAAGATACAGGAGGGCGAAGGCCTTAGGCAGGAGTAGAAGAGAAAGGGGAGGGGAGAGCATCAGGCCTTGAAGTGTGGAGGGACTCAGCTTCTAGGCAGAGCCCCTTGGCTGGCAGGCTTGGCTCTGGAGAGGCTAAGATGGAGGGTGAGCTGTCCTTCCCTGACAACTTCCCAGTGAATGCCTGGGCTGTACAGAGAGAAAGGGCTAGCTACAGCTATTGGCCGGTGGGCATAGAACTTTCTAGAGAAAGTCTGCATTCCCAGAGCCTGGGGGCTTGGAGCCTCCAGCCGGGTGAAGTGGGGGCTTCTTACATGTCTCCCAGTGACCCTCAGCATTGGGCTGGCCACAGTGGGCTACAGAGGACAGTAGCCATCTGTCGATGGTACTCAAGTGGGACCCTGGCAGGTCAGAAGCCGGACCCAAGGTACAGGGAAGGGAGGGTGGAACCTTCTCCCCATAGCTCTGTTCCCTAGGAGGGGCCAGGATTGGGTCCCCAGGTTGGTCTCTTCCCCATGTAGTTCCTCCTCAGAACATGGGTAGAATCTGAGAAAAGACCCAGTGCCCACGATGGGGAGGGGTTTCCAACCCAGGACAGGGGTGAGGGGGGGGCTGAGGGAGGAGCCATGACCTGGGGGCAGTGCGTGTCATACACAGTGGGTAATGGGACCAGCAACTGGGGCGCAGACAGAGGGAGCCAGAACACAGGAGTCGGGGCTCTGAAGCTTTGTGATCGTCTCAGGAGGCATGGACAGAAAAGAGGGACTCTGGTGTCACCCTGGGGTTCTAGGAGTATGGAGGTGGGTAGACAGCGTGGATGTGTATGGCCAGGTCTGAGGGAGGGGGAGGGGCTCCTTCCACCTGGATTGTCTGCATTACCCGCCCCCCCCAACTGGCAGCCTGGCACCTACTTGATGGCCTTCTTCTCACTGCGCCCACGCCCTGAGTCTGGCGTGCCCACTGTCTCCAAGGAGTTCTTGTAGCGTTTGCCCTGTGGAGATAACACTGGGGTCACTCTCGAGGGGGTCAGGCTCAGACCCTCCCCACCTCCCCCACATAGTGACACCAGGTTACAGGGAGGAAACCAGAGTCTGGGCTTGCATGCAAAAAGGTGTAGGGATGATATGTGTGTGTGTGTGGGGGGGGGTGTCACCACTGTGGGGGGTCCCTTCCCCCTGGTTGGCCAGTATCTGGGGTCCCAGTGGGCTCTAGGACCTGCCTGCTACCCACAATGGATACCTCACGCCTGACCCCCAGGTATCAGGCTGTCCTGTCTGCAAGTCTCCTGGGCCTCTGGCCCAGCTCCCAGAAACAGTTCCCTCTGCCACGGACAGACAGCTCTCAGGCGCCTGGCCACGTCACACTGTCCACGTCACCGCCCCCAGATGGTGGGGGCGGCATCCTGCAGGGCAAGGTTGGCAGCGGCCAGTGACGTGATTGGCGGGGGCAGGGAGGCCACATGTCCCGTCTTGACCAGGGCTGTGTGGTCACTGGAGGTTCCCTGGGGCCCTCCTGCCCCCCGGGCCTTTGTAAGAGGCAGCCTTGAGAAGGGAGGGGCGGGGCAGAGCTGACTGTGCTGGTGTGGGTGCAGGTGCAGCCCCAACCAACATGAGGGGTGAGGGGCAGGGCAGCCAGTGGGCACCCCAGCTCCTTCCAGCCAGAGGAAGGACCACAGTAGCAGCCGCAACTGCCGGGAAGGTGAGCACCATTCACCTTCTCAGTTTGGGTTTCTAAATTTAGCTCATGCAGAGCCCGGCCCCATTAACATTCCTGGCTGCCACCAAGAGTCCTCACGTGCACCCATGGGCTATGGGCTGGGCAGGGCCCTGGACTGAGGCAGGCAGTAGAAAGCTGAGGGCTGGTGGGGGCTGGGTCTGCTCCTTCTCCTACTCCTAGTAGGCACGGACCACCCCTCCCTAGCTGAGCGTAGACACACACACACAGAGGCACGTGCATGCTTCCTCAGCATTCCTTCATATGCACCAACACTGCAGCCACAACAGTCAATTATTCTATCCTTCCTAAAGCAAAATAAGAGCTGCCACAGCCACATCCCCGGATGTTCCTGCCAGCTGTACCCCTGTCCTAGCCACAGGACCTGGCTGTCCAGGGAGACTCAGCAGCGCTTCTAGGAAGGTGTGGAGCATAGACAGGGGCCCCATTCTGCCCCTAGCACCCCTGCATCTCAGAGGTACCTGGGTCTTGGCCCCAGCTATGCTTCACATTCCCTGTATCACACTGGCCAAGTCTCTTCCCTTCTCTGGCCTCTTGCTGCCTTCCTGAAATGGTATGACGTCACCAGATGAGCCCCCTGGAGAATGAGACCCCACTCCTAGACCTCCAAGCTGCTCTGGAGTGGAGGCCCACAAAGGCAGAGCTGTATGCTCTCTAGAACCTGGAGTTGAGCTTGGTACCAGTTCTCGAAAAATAACTGGAAGAAATGCCTCCCCTTACCCCACCCACTCTGGGGTCTGGACCACTGGAGACCACTGAAATCTTAACAGCTAGAATACAGGGCTGTGAAGGTGGCTCAGTGGTAGAGTGCTTGCCTAGCATGCATGAAGCCCTGGGTTTGATTCCTCAGTACCACGTACACAGAAAAAACCGGAAGTGGTGCTGTGGTTCAAGTGGTAGAGCGCTAGCCTTGAGTACAGACAGGCTCAGGGACAGAGCCCAGGCCCTGAGTTCAAGCACCAGGACTGGTTAAAAAAAAGTTAGAATGCAGAGGTCCTCGACCTTCTGGGCTCTCAATAGCTTCACTCTCAGACCTGTCTCTAGTTCTTCCCACTATCATCCCCAAGTTCAAATCCCCAGCACCTACTAGGGTAAACTGGGAGCCTCAGGGGTAGACCACCCCGTGGTGGCCAAGGACTGTCCCTTAAGCAAGAGTCCAGCCCCCACTATTTTCCAGTCCCCAGGCAGTGTGGGGCAGGGTGGATCTGTTTGGTGGCATTCCTAATGCTCTTATCACAACACCCCTGCCCACCCCCCAGCACTCTTCTTTCTGCTCTTGGCAGAAGACCTTGTCCCTGTCAGCATCCTCCACTAAGGCTCATCAACTGCCCCTTCCCCAAGGCCAGGCAGAGCTGGGGTGGGTGGGTGATCTTGATTTACCCAGGGCATTCTGGGAGTTGAGAGGCCCTTCCCCTCTAGCTGTAACTATTTATTACTGTGCGGTAGGAGCTGAGGCATGATGGGCAGTGGAGATAGAAAACAGGGCAGGACTTGACTGGGGGGCAAGGGGAATTTAATAGGCGAACCCAAGTCAATAGGAAACCAGGCGGAGCCCAGAAGATATGAGGCTGCTCCAGAGGAGCCCACAGCACCAGTCTGCTTATCAGGGAGGGGGAGGGGGCTGGGGGGCTGGCTAGGCTGAGCCGGAAAAAGCCAGCTGGAGATTAAGGAAGTTATTAATGTTTGGAAATGGGATCTGGGCTGTCAAGGAATCACGTCACTGGTGGTGAGGGGACAGGCAGGCAAGGAGAGCCCAGCAACTCTGTGTGTGTGTGTGTGTGTGTGTGTGTGTGTGTGTGTGTGTGTAGGGGGGGGGCAACAGTTCACAGCCCTTCAGCAAGGAGACAGCCTGGTCAAAAACCGCCCTGGTATCCAGGACAAGGGGATGAAGATGGTAGCATTTTGGTGTGTGTCTTGGGGAAGGGAGGTTTGGAAGATAATGTTCTACCTGTAGCCTGGAGTTCAGGAGGGGCCCTGACTGGGAGCCAAGCGCGGGGTTGAGCACAGGGCGGGGTCGGCTCTATGTCTCTCAGCGGCTCAAGGTATTTCTCATAATGAAAACACTACCTGCTTACAACTGGCATCCTTGAACTCCTGTCCCAGGATCAGCCCACATTGGAGGTTGTATGCTGGTCCTGGAAAGGGTGTCATACACACACATACACACACATACACACACACACACACAATCACATACATACACTCACACATTGTAGTAGGTACATACAACAGCACATATATACATGTGCACATCTTACTGCTCAGGGAAGGCAGCTTCCTCCCCCCCCAACATATATACATATATACATACACACACACATACACACTGTTGCTCCAACATACTCATCACAAAGGCACACCTCTCCCCTCCCCTGTCCCCATGCACCCAAAGTCACCAGCAATGCCTGCCTACAACCTTCTTGCCCTGTCTTCAAATACAGACAGACCAAAGAGCCTAACAGGTCTGGCAATGAGGAGCCAGCACAAGTCTGCAGAGTGTGCTCAGCCACTCCCCTGGTTTCTGAGGCCAAGCTCCTTCCATTACCACCCCTGAAATTCTGACACAGATAGACTCGGGGGACCTAAGAACAGTGCAGGGTAACCATCCCTGTCCACACTCCTGCTGCAGGGCTGGCTGGGCTCGGTCAATCACATACTCACACTTGTGTATGTGTGTGAGCGTGCTCACACATACACACACACACACACACACACACACACACACACACACACACACACACAGATCTTAGCGGGCCTGCTTTGGCTTTGTAGCTCTTCCCCAGAGGCTGGAATTGCCTGACAGTCCACATCCTAGTTGAGTTTGCCACTACTATAGGAGCTGTGCTGGCGTACGCACCTCATGGGTTCCCAGACCAGGTCTCTCACAAGACCAATACATCTTCGCCCCCCCCCCCCAAGAGAATTCTTCCCCTATAGGCATGGGACATGAAGCCTCTTACCCACTCGGTGCCCCTGGCTATAGCCCTCGCCCTTTGTCCTAATAGTCCCTCTGGGACAGAATGGAGTTCCCAATGTGAAGCTCTGCCCCACTTCACACCATTCTCAACTGGGGGGTGAGGGAGAGTCTGCCAGGGACCTTTATTTTCACCTGAGCCCTGCAAAGGCCCTGAACCTTGGACACCTCTCCCCTTGTAGCCCTCCAGGTCCCGCTGTGGTTACTGGGTGGGGCTGCAGGAGGCCAGATGGAGGGCTGCTGGTGGGGGCTCGCAGAACTGCAGGCTGGGTGGAGCTGAGGGCTGCGGCTGCAGGCTCAGCGCGCTCCGGCTCCCGGGGCCCCAAAGTGATGAATGTCCCTCCAGACAGTCTCGTTACTTATTGATAGCCTAATCCTGCTCGTTAATTCCCCAGCCCTCGTTAAAAATGAAAAGAAGCCGTTTGTGCTTGTACAAACCCGGGAGAACCGGGATGGATGTGCTGTTGGGAGTGGGGAGGTGAGGGCGTCGCCTCCTCATTGGCTACAAGATGCCACTCGGCCACGCCCACCGGGGGCGGGGCGTGAGAGGAGAGGGGCGGGGCGGGGCGGGGCGCAGGGGTCGGAGGGGCCTCAATTTCCAGTCTCGGCTCCTGTGAGTTTGGGGCTCTTTATGTGGGCGGTGGGGCGCGCGTGCGCACGCGCGTGTCCTTGCATGCATGCGCGCACGTGTGTAGTTTCGAGCCTTAACGGTTTAAGTGTGTCCGCAAATGTGTCCCCACGTTTGTGCTTCTATAGGTAAAAAAGAGACGTATGGGACCAAGACGCAGGCACACACAGGATGCCCTGGCAAGGGGGCTCAGTTAGAATTCACGCTGCTTGCTTTGACATTCACACACTGTGCACTGTGCATGTGTGCATGTGGCATGAATTTCCACGGAGCTGTGTCTGTGTGGGCAGGTGGGCTATCTGCACAAGCTGGAGCTAAGCACATGTCTGGAGTTGTGGAGGGAGGGGTGCAGGGCCACCCTCCCCCAACCCCCTACAGGGACCCACAGGCGCCTCACCAGTTTACGCTGACACCAGTGGCAGAGGCCGCAGAGGACGACAGTGACGCTAAGGCTGACGGTGATGATGGCAGAGACCAGGAGGACATCACGGGTGGGTGCCCCTAAAGAGGACAGGCACAGTCAGACCCTCAGCGGTCCAGGGCTAGCCATTCTTCTCCATCCCAGAGGGCCCCCCTCCTCCCGGCTCCAGAATAACCCATATCCTCCTCTTCCCTCTTGGTTAGGACATGGGGAGCTTTGAGTCCAGGTTCTACTGCCAGCTCTGCCTTGCTGGATGAACTTGCGAAGTCCTTCCCTTCCTCCATGCCTCAGTAAAATGGGGGGACTGTGCAATTGGCATCTCTTTTCAGTGCTATCCTCCAGACTTGACACTCTGCAGAGAGAGGCCAGACTTCACCAGGCCCATGATCTCTCTGAAGGAACCACTGCTCTTGTATGGTTTTCCAGACTTCCACCTTACACCCTACTCTGAGCCACAGCTCCAGTGAAATGGGACCAAAGGATTGTAGCTCCTACAGTTCTCTGAGCACATCTGCCTCTGATGCACCATGGACCTTCTTAAGTGTTTGCTTGCTCAAGACCCAACAGCCATATATATGTATCCTTAAGAGGAATTTTCCTCTTAAGGGAAGGTGGCTCAGTGGTAGAGCGCTTGCCTTGCATGCCTGAGGCCCTGGGTTCAATTCCTCAGCACCACATAAGCAAAAAGAAAAAAAGCCAGAAGTGGCACTGTGGCTCAGGTGAAGAGCTGAAGAGCTGAGGGACAGCGCCCAGGCCCAGAGTTCAGGCCCAATGACTGGACCCCCCCCAAAAAAAGAGGAAATTTCCAGAACCTTCTGCCTACCTTCGCTCAGCTTACTATGTTGGAAGTCTCTGCCCATCCCTGCTCTCTCCATCTTAGCCCTTGAGCTTACCTCTGGCCCTCCCTCCAATCCTGTTGGCTCTGGCACACATTTTGTGCTGCTCAGGGGCCAGATGCTTCAGAAAATGAAGACCTTGATACTCTTCAAAGAAAGAGATCGAACATGGGGGAGGGGGAGAAACTCCAGGTTTCTTCCTGAATCTTGTCTCTTCCTAGTTGTGTGGCTTTGGACAAGTCATCTAAGCATTCATTTTTCTCCTCTGTAAATGTGGATTTGTAGCCTCCTCTGTCTTCCTCACAGGTGGTTGTAAACATGAGTCTAAACCAAATGCAAGGAAAGCAAAACCTTGACCCAAAGTGGGAATGTGGGGGAGTGAGGAGAGAGAGAGAGAACAGCAGAGATCGCGCGTGCACTGTAAATATGTATGCACTGGGATGTGTCCTGAAGTCAAGGAGATGGGGTGTGTTTACAGAGGAGCCTGCGTGGGCTCTTTGGTGCCAGTGATTGTGGTAATTAAGAGTTGGAGATATTTGTCTGGTCCCAGTTCCTGTGGTTTTTCTGTCTTCCCTTCCTCTCCTGGTCTCTCTTGCTTGGCCAGAGGCCTTGTGGAGGAGCTAGCAGACACCTGACTTGCGGAGCCTCTTAGCTCCTTCCCCCCACCCCTGCAGTGCCATGGGGGGCCTGCTCTCTCAAGGCTGCTGCTCGGCTCCCACCTCTCTTACTGTGGGAAGAAGTCTCCTTGCCACCTCTGCCAAGCCTGTCCACCTGCCAGGTCCACAGAGACTCCGCCTGTGCCAAGTGCATAGCCTCAACCACCAGAAGCCCCTGCGTCCAGTTCACTGTCAGCCACAGCAACCATGAGCTGTGACCTGGACAACCTGCGGGCATCAGGTCCTGCCCATGGAGGTCTCACACATCAGTGACCCCTCCTCGCATAGAAGGTGAGCCAGGAATTCCAGGTGCTCCGTGTACAGGAAAAACTCAGTCCTCACAACAACTTAGATATGTATTATGAGTTGTCCCTATTATACAGATGAGGAAAACTGAGCCCCAGACGGGTCAACATGATGCTCACACTCATTTAGCTAGCAGTGGGAGAGCTCAAGCCCAGGTGGCTCAGTTAGAATTCATACTGCTTCCTTCGCCATTCACACCCACTACAGAGGTGGCTGTCTGCGGTTCTCAAAGTCTGCTCCCTGGAACCCCTAGGGTTCCCTGAAGTCAGTCAGGGGCTCTGGAGGTGGGTACTGAGCCGATAGGCTGTGGTCTCTTAAGCCCTCTTCAATCAGAGCAGCAGTATTTCCCTTGGCTTCACATCTTAGGCTTTTGCAGAAAATTCCATTTGAAGGAGCTGTGTTGCTAAGAAAGCTGAACCCCTCTGGAACAGTGACTCCTCCCCCACAAGATCCCCCAGCCCCCTCAGCAGCCCTCACACAGCCCTTGAAGGCAGGGTGAAACAAATGCTTGCGATTGCAAATTGCACTGATGTTGTGAATAAAAGTGACAAGATGTCCTTGGCCAGCGTGCCCTCCAGTACTGTGCCATCAAGGGGCGCAAGCGTGTTCTCGCCTGCCATCAGAGAGGGAGCCCTTCCTAGGGCCTGGTGTCACTGTGTCTCTGGCTGGAAGGGACCCTGAGAGTCATGGAGGTGCCCCTCCCCCAGTCCTGGTGGGGACAGGGAGTTGTTTCTGCAAGAGGCTGTCCCTGCATGGCCAGGCCCTGTCAGGAAGGCTGCTGTGCCTGTGTGGAGCCCAATTTGTCTCCCTGGACGTCCACACACTCTCTCCCCCTTCCCACCCCTCTCATGGTCCTCTACCTGACCTCTGGAACTACAGGGACTCTGCCACATGACAGGCCTCCAAATCCTTGCCGACAGTTCCCATGTCCCCTTCAAGTCTTCTGCAGGCAAAGCTGCCCAGGCCCTTCTATCCCTTCCTCGGATGACACACATGGTTTCAAGTCCCCTTATCGTCAGCATATTAACATTCAGGGAAAGAAAATATTGTAGCCCGAGTCAGCCTTTTGACAGGGCTGAGTTCCACGACCTATCCTTGGGCAGAGGAGACATTGTGGATTCCCCAGGGGTGAGGCACAGACAAGGGCAGACAGATGACATCCACAGACCTGAGAGGTAGGGTGAGCCAAGAGCTGGGCACAGCCAGGCTGACTGGGCCACTCAAAGGGGTGTCCTGGGAGTGGGGTGTGGGTTCACACACACTGTTGTGTAATGCCCAGGCCTGTACTGGGCATTAAATGATCTCCTTGTGTCCACTGAGCAAAGGCTGTGTTCCTGGCAAGTGTCAGGGGAAGGCCTGGAGACAAGATGCCCGTTCCGTCTTCCTCTCTCTAGCAGGGTTTCATCTCTCATTTGGAAACTCTTCCCAGCGTCCCAGTATACCAGGCTCTGCTATACAATAGGTGTCCCATCGAAGCTTGTTGTGAGAATGAATGAGGAGAAATCCCAGGAAGTAAGGATATCAATGGAGGCTACTATTTATTAATCACCTTGTGTATACTTCACTCTAGGGCCCCTGAAGTCAGGGGTGAAATCTGCACAAAGACATATTCAGCAAACATTTGTTGAATATTCAGTGCTTGCATAGGATATCTTACTTGTCATTCAAACAAGAAGGGATGGGAGAGGCGTCAATGTCAATGTGAGACTTTCAGAGTCTCTCTCTTTTGAACACACACACACACACACACACACACACACACACACACACACACACACACACCTTCTGTTCTTCTCCATGTCCAACTCTGCCTGACAAACTTGATTTTTCTAGTCTTAGATGAAAACACTCCCTCCATGAAGCCTTCTTTATTCTGTCTTGGGATGGGGTGGGGGGAGATTATTTTCTCCTGCCTCTGAGTACCCATAACACTGTCTTTTAGTGATTAAGAGCCAGGGCTCAGCAGTCAGGCTCCTGGGCTCAAATTCTGGCACAGATTCTTCCAAACTCTATGACCTAATCTCTGTGGGCCTTGGTTTCCCATCTATAAAGGGGGTGGGGAGCGATAAAGTACATTTTTCATAGGACTGCTGTGAGGTTTCAAGGAATTAGCATGCATAATGTGCTTAGCACCGTGCCTGACTCGGTAAGTAAGCAATAAATGCCAGCTACTATCCTCACCTAGCCATGTCACAACCTGTACACGCCATATCTGGGGCATATGGAGCTGGCGTTCAATCAGTGTTGAATGAATCAGAACTGGATACACTCGAGTCGTCCCCACAGGGCAGCACAGGTTAGGGGTCACATCTTACTCAATTTTATGTGTCACTAATCACCCCTTTGTACCAGTAACGAGCCTAGGGCACCCATAGCAGGGAAAGGAGAGGATGGAGACGTGTGTGTGTGTGTGTGTGTGTGTGTGTGTGTGTGTGTGTGTGAGCTGGAAGCAAGAATGGGCCTCAGGTGTGAACTGGAGACCCAACTCAGTACCTCGCCAGGGCTCTGCCCCTGGCCCTCTCATCTCCTCAGCAAGCCATGATTAATGGATGAACAGAATCAAACAGGGCCGTGGGCAGCTGAGAGGCCCAAGGGGAGCTGCGGGAGAGGGAATGGACTTCAGAGAGCAAAGCTCGCTAGCTGCCCCCAGGGGTGCAGGAGGACAGCGGGGAGGAGGGAAGAGGCACAGCGACACAGACCCCAACACGGACACCCACAGTCCTCACCTATGGAGTCTCGCCCCTGGCATAGGCATGCATGTATAGGCGCTCACACACATGTACACACACACACACACATGCAGGAATTCTAGCTGTGCATGTCATTCCTCTCAGAATTCTTTACCTTTGAAATTAACATTGTCTACTTAAATTCTATTGCTCCTTTTGTCCTGTCCTTCCTTCTAAGGCACAGCAGAGCACGTGCAGTAATTTGTGCATAGAAGACCTGGGTCCGAGCCCCGATTTGGGCCTGGGCCACTACGTGCACCAAGGCAAGGCCTACCCTTCAAATGATGATAATAAACCCTGACTGCCCCTGCTGGGGGGCTGTCAGGACCAAATAATAGCGAACATGGAAGACACACAATGTGACAGACACTGCCTCAGAAACTTTATATGCCCCATCGCCAGAACCTCAAGCCATCATTAGCTCCATTTCTTGGGGGAAGAAACAGAGGCACCCGAGAACTAAAGGCCTTGGAGCCCCAGTGGTCTCCTTAAGTACCACGTGACGGTGTTCTGTAAGGGGCCACACTGCACTGTCTAGCCACGCCCTGTTTTC